TATATTCTTGCGCCTAATCTTGAGCGCCGGTGTCACCAAACCGTTACCAGTGGTCCACTCCTGCGGGCATAACATGATTTTGAGCGGTATTTCCATTTTATGCAACTTTCCCGTCGACTGACAATACATTTGCAACTCCTTCTCGATGTGAGCAATGATTTTGTGGTTTCCGCACAAATCCACTAATTTGTCGCTTTCGACATAATTCAGGAGCTGAGCTGCCAGTCCTGTCAGCGCCTTTTGGTTGGGTATAATCAATGCAATTAAATACGTGCGATGGCTGTCCCCGTAAACGCATATATTGTCCACAAATGGGAAGTTCTTGAGCTCCGACTCAACCTATTGTCATGTCATTCAAAACATACAAAACAATTCATTTTATTTGTTAATAAAGTTTTCTATAAACTATTTAAGTTAACTAAATGGCATTACGTAACATATACCATACTTGACGCCAAAATTAATATTAAAACATATAATCATGTACTAAACTAATTTTTAATTAATTAATTAATTCACGTTAGTTTAGTCAATAAAGTTATGTAAAAGTTATTCACTAACTGAATGCAATAAAATACTATAAACTTTAACATAATATTAAAAATAATTTGTCTATACAATTAATATCAGGAAAAAATTATTTAATCATGCAAATCAACCAACAATTAAATCATAAATATGTCACAATAAAAAAATTACTCAACTAGCTCATAATTTAATTATTGACTCACCTTTCCAAGTGATATATACTCCCCGAACTGGAGTTTCACGAAATCCTTTTTCCTGTCAATGATTTTGAACATACCGTCGGCGCCCACCTCCACGATGTCACCCGTTTTGAACCATCGCATGCCGTCCCCACTCGTCTCAAACGCCTCGGCCGTCAACTCATCCAACTTGTGGTAACCGATGGCCACGTTATGTCCGCCCACCACAGCCTCGCCCCGAGGGTTCGGCACATCCGTCGCTTTATAGCCGCCCTCATCCCAGTCCACGAGCCTTACTTTGACGCCAAACAGAGGGGCGCCGATACCGCCCACCGACAGGTCCTCGAAGTCCATCGACGTGGCCGACGCCGTCACCTCTGTTGACCCGTAACCCTATGGGGGTCACAAAGTTTGCTATTTTTATATACGTTTATAAAAGCTTTATATTTAGAGTACATTTAGAGTAGTGTTCAACACTAGTTTAATTACTGTAACATTAACCTATTATGTCTAGGGAACAAGTTGATTAATTAATATCGTATTTTATAAATTATCTTGATTTTAAAGTTTAATTAAATAATAGAGCTTAATGAAATAAGTTTATATTACATCGTGCATATAGGTTACCAATAGCATAGTATAGCAAGTGTTTCAATGCTATATTCTATTGCATTGCACAATGGAGGTCTATGCAGTTACAGACTGTAACTCTGAAAATAGTGGTTTGTTAGGCAGTACATAAGGGACTGGTATGTAAGCTGTATGTCCCGTGTCGGCGGGACATATACTAAAATTGGAACGATACAGAGAAGATTAGCATGGCCCCTGCGCAAGGATGACACGCAAAATCGTGAAGCGT